GGTATCGCGGAGGAGGAACGGGAGGTCTTGAAACAGCTCCCCACAGGTACTGAGGTACCTCTGTACATAGCTAAGTAAGTCTAAGCAGTGTTGGGTTAAACAAAGCAAAATAGATTCCTTAATGAGATGATTGTTATTGTCGAGTACCTTTATAAGGAGATGTAATGTTCATTTTTCAAACTTATTTGAGCCCAGAAAACTTTTCTTTCCTCTAAAGAATACCTAGTAACATTTGTAGGCTATTAGTGTTCCTCAAAATGCATTTTAGGAAATGCATGTCACAAATTCTAAGATCCATTCTAATGATAATATTCTATGATTGCCTATAAAATTAGATTTAGTTTTGTTGGGGTACAAGAAATTTATAAATGTAGTTATTTTCCTGGTCAGGGTCTCTGCAGATCACAGATGATATACTCAAATCTGGCAGTTTGAGGTGATTTAATAAATACACTAGATTCAAAATTTGGGTGAACCATAAAACTGAGCCTTGAATCCTCCTTTGCCTGATGAGGTGAAGCCAGTAGTAGATTCTAGAACTAGAGATGGAGAGGACTGCCTAACCTTAGTGGTGACCCCCAGTTGGGGCACAGTCAGTACAGGCAACCCTGAGCCCCAGGTATTCTCTGCTCACCTGTTGGTACTCCATATTCCCCTGGATGCCAGAGAGAAGGCAAATAAGTCCAGTGATGTGGACCAAAATGTCAGTCTCCCAGGACAAATGGAAAATACTATCACAGTGCTCCAACATCTCACTCCATCAAAAATGTCCCCTGGGTGTCTCATTTCAACAAAGCAGACAGAGAACAGCATTGAAGCCAGACAGATCTGGATCAGCATCTGATTCCGCCCTTATTTACATAATCTTGAAATTCTTCTAAGCCATTTTATAGAGTTTAAGGTATTTCTTAGGTGTCAAATGTATGTTTTAAGACCTATCATGCAAGATTGTTATGATGATTAAATTGAGAATGCCCATTAAAAATTATGTGACTCATAGGAGGTCCTCTAACAAATGTCATTGTTAGACATTTTTAAAAGAAAAAAAATGTGATTTTTCTTTTCCCTGTCTTCCCTCTGCTCTTTGCTAAACAGAAATGGAGATGTTCACATGGGTTTTTATCCACAGAATTTGTTTTGGGACATAGTTCCACATCAGGTAGAGCTGGATGACACGTTCCTTCTGCCTCCAGGACATTATGAACCCCTCACAACCATCACTGGGAAATGATGATCGCCTTAAAAATAACATTGATAATTCTATGCTTTAAAAAGTTGTGGTTAGTGCTCCACCAGCGTCCCCCAGCCTGTTAGAATTACTCAAGAAACTTTTAGAAAATGCAGGTTCTAAAACTTCACCTCAGGTCTCCTGAGGCCAACCACTGGGAACAAACCCGGGGACCCCTCTTTTAGGAAATCCTCTTGGGCATTTTTGACAGCTGGCTGACTCTGATTTTCTCTGCCCTGCATGTTCCTGAAATGTTAGCCCATTAGTCTGGTCTTGAAGTGGCACCCCCTTTCTTCACTGAAAAATCTTAACTGAGCCTCTCCAGAAATCTTCACCCAGACTGATTTTAGGTCAGCAAAAGTCTCTGCAAAACAGTTCACTGTAGATAAACTTCCTATTTTCCTGTCACCCTGTTTACTTGGCCACTGGCAGAGAAGATACCAGCACTCCAGGTGCTGGACACCCCCTTACTAGTTTTCCACAAACATATCCAGTATAATACTTTGAAGAAATGTGCAATCAAGGCCTCTGGCCTTGAGCTGAGGCTTCACAGAGAAGTCAATATTTTTAAGATAAGTTACAATTGGGCTCCATGGTAACAGCTGGCAGGGGGAGGAAAGGAAGGGGAGAAGAGGCTCTCCCCTTCTCAGGTGTTGTCCTTGAAGAGTTAACATGCCCAGAACAGTGAAAGAAAAAGCTGCTTTTATATGAACTTCTGCAGACTGTGAACTTCTGAGCCCCTCCCCTTACATACTGGGTATAAAACTCTAAAACTCTCTGAACTTGGGGTTCAGGGGATTAATTGATTACAGCAAAAGCTGTGCCCTCTGAACCTGGCTGCAGCCAAATAAAACTGTTTCCAGCTATCTTCGATGCCTTGCCTCCTTTGTCCCTACAACAGCCTCTTGAGTTGGAACTAGAGATATGGAAGCAGTCACTTTTACATCCTTTGGGAGGATTCTTTGCAAATGTAGACTCAGAGTCTGCCGATACAACAGCAGGTTTAATCAGCCTCGACAAGCACCATCTCTGAAGTGGAAGTATTCTTCCCTCTGGGTTGTTCATAGAACAGTGACAGCATTGTGAATGATTTCTGACTCAGAGCCACTACACAACTATAAATGGCATGCCTGACCTTGATGTCTTTACACGTTAAAACTCTCTTGAAAAGCAGGACATCTGGCTCATTCTCCGTCTCCCAACTCCTTCACTTCTCTTACCAAACAATTCATCCCTAAAGTCTTTAGATGGGGTGGAGCAAAGCAGGAATCCATAGTGGTGGTAGTAAGGAAAGCTGTAGAGGCTTAGAGGGGATATCCAGTCTGAGCCTGGTAGGAGGCAGTGCCCCTGGGTGAGCTGCCCAGCATGCTGTATCAATGCCTGAATGGGTGGGAAGGGTTAGAGTACAGCAGTGTGTGTACGTGTGCCCATGCGCACCAAAGTCTCCATACAGCAAGGCCACCTGCTATGGGTGTGAGGGCCCAAGCTTGGTGAGCAGAGCATCCACGTGGTATGGGTGGAGAGAGGAACACAGAATGGGAAATCAGTGTCTGGGCAGTAAGAGGAAGAATTCTTGAGGAGAACAGTATGGAAGCAGAGGTGATTGATCATTCTGGGTATTGATCAAATAAGAAAACATTAAGGATAATGAAAGCAAGATACTCAGAGAAGGGTGTTACAAATATATAAAGGAAGAAACCTAGAATAAACTCATGATTTTCAATAGATAGACATAAACATAAACAAATACATATGTGTAATATGTACATACGTACAACTACACACACACACACACACACACCCTGTGTAAATTATCATGTATTCCTTTGCTCTGTCCACCGAGAAGGCTTGAGAACAATGACACCCGGAAAAGCAATGAGTATACCTAGCCCTGGATCTTGGCTTCCAAATACCATTTGCCACTGAATGGAACCAGGAATCCTAGGAGAAATGGCTGATTCCAGAGCCAGGCAGACAATGTTTAAGATAAGCTTGAAATACCTAGTACCAGAAAGCAAGAAAGTGCTTGAAGATTGAGGAGGCTATATTGGACAGACACAGAAGGCAGCTTCTACAACTCCATCATGAAATTAGCAATGGATTAGCTTGATAGTATCAGATTATAACCTGTGGAATTATAACCAGAGGAAACCATGAATTCATACACACATAAGCAAATAAATGACTAATTTTGAAGTTTGATGGGGAAGAAAAATTTGCATAGTTTTACAATATCTCCCCACAAAACACTAACTTTTAAAGAGAAGAAAGTACCTTTACAAGTGGAAAAATCTGACAGATACTTCATGAATCAAATGATCAAAACGAGTGCCCTCAATAGAATGGGATAAATAAATGCAATGAAATAAACATTACATGGCTTCTTGACAATCCAATGGAAGTTGTGTAACTTGAATGTAACCATGCAGAAATATCTGACAACACCAAACTTAGAGATGATCCACAAGATACTTAACCTGTATCCTGCAAAAATATCTAGATCATGAAAATAAAGAGATGGAGGAACTATTCCAAACTGAATGAGATGAAGATGAAGTGTGAATCTGAGCTGGGTCTTTTAGGACAACTGGGATAATTGGAAAAACTTGAATGGCATCTGAGGACTATTAGCAGAAACATAACAGTGATAATTTCCTGATTTTGATGGTTGCATTGTGATTATGAAGGAGAGTGTCCTTGTTTGTAGGAAATACACACTGAGGTATTTGGCAGCAGGGTGGTGGGCATCCTGTCAACTCACTCTCAAATAGAATCAGAGAGTGCTTTGTGCCATCTTTATGCTTTTCTAAAATTTTGTGATTGTTAAAAAAATTTTAAAAATCGTCACAGTAGGATCTGGTCCCTGTAACAAATTACAAACTCATATATGGGTGTGCTTGTGTGTTATCTTAAAATTGGTTTATTCAGATCCAAACACTGAGAGATATACTACATAATGCCAGTTCACTATGCCTTAAATAAAATGGTAGGAAAAAATAAATAAAAATACATGTCCCATGTCACTTTCATATATATGTGAAGCAGGAAGTGTAACTTGGATCACAATCATTCGAAAAACAATTATACGTTCTTTCCTTTATTAAAGAATTTTAATTTTTTTAGACCTTTAAAAAAATTTTAATTTTTGGTACTAGAGATGGAACCCAGGGGTTCATTATCATTGAACTACCCTCCCAGCCCTTTTTTATATTTTTATTTTGAGACAAGTTCTTGCTAAATTGCTTAGGGCCTTGAACTTGTGATCCTCCTGTTTCAGCCTTCTCAGCTGCTGGGATTACAGGCATATGCCTCTGTGCCTGGTTTAAAGAAATTTTTAAAAACCATTCATTAGGTCAATGATCAGTCAATAAACTCATTATTTCCTTTTGTACATGGAAATACCAGGTTGTCTATCAGGTCAGCTTAAGTGATTTAGCAGTAAAGTCTAAGATAAGAAAGGCTAATTCTTGGGTCCTTCCTGAGCTCACAGCTTGTGTCTTGGGGCTGTTGGGTCCATCCTGGATTTATTCATTGTGATGCATGGCTCCTCCCTGTCACGTGTTGGTTACATCTTCTTGAAGTCCATCTTGAAAGTAACCTCCTAAGATCAGAAATCTTCTTTAGGTACTTCTCATCTCAAACATCTTTATTTTGTGACCAGAAGAAAAGATATTTTTAAAGAATTCTTTTTTTAAGAAGTTCTACTAGAGCCCGGTATCTAAAACACTCCTATTCTCTCAAGGTAAGATATTAGCTGGTCACATTGACCCTGATCCACAGGCTCAGGGGCTCTGAAGTAGTGTCAGGAATAATAGGTTCTTTCTTTCTTTCTTTAAATTTTTTTTTTTTTTTTAAAACCATGAGCTTTCTGTTCATGGTTTGGTCCCCATGTTGCTGCCCTGGCTCAGAAGACACCATCTCACATTGCACTCAAGGGACACTTTTCATGTCACAAAACTGATGCTCCTTCCCACGGGCTGCTCCACTGATGGCGTGGCTGGCTGAAAAATCATCTCCTGCTGCAAGGAGCACTACACAATGCTCTCTGGGATATGAGTGTGCTTTCCTTCTAATTTTGAGTGTTCTGCATTTTCCTTCTTCTTTGTTTTTGCTTCTGAGTACAATCTCGTGATATAATTCATGCAACGTTTAGAGTGAGAAGCTGAAAAATAAAAGATAAAGATGAACATTTATCCTGAACAACATTGCACCCATTTCTTGAAACGGTTTGATGGGGCATCATAATTTTAAGGTCCACATCTGACAAAACCTAAGAGTCCTTGATACACATAAGTGGTCTGAATACATTGTTATACCTTAATTTTTAAAAAGTCTTGTTCACATAAACAACCTACTAAAAAAACTGAAATGAAATATGCAGACATTTATGCTGTATAACATGTGTGTTGCTGAAAAAAGCACAATGCCTTCAACAAAACTGCATATTAAAAATAACAGGGCTCATGGGAAATACAGGGCTGGGGGCAGACCCCTCGAAGCTATGCAACTAGACGTGGAGGCAGCTATTCAGAATATCTTTTAAATGTGCAAAAAAAAAATACAGTGAAAACATTGGATTTGAGGGTGCTGAGGCAGGGAGGATGAAGGAGGAGGTCGAATCCAAGAGAAAGTGCCACCTCCTATGAGCGTGGTGAGCCCCTGGGATATCCCTGTCTGTGGAGGACGGGCTGAGTGCAGGTCCTCATTTTAAAATTTCCTCTAAGTTGAACTGCAAGGGCTTCTGCTTTTTAGCAGCTGAGCTAAGGGGTTTTCTTTTCCTGCTAAGGGGCATAATTCTCCTCCCACTTCTTTGGTTCCCTCACCTGTGAAAAATATAGGAAGCTACACATTATATGACATCATTCTCTATGCTTTGTAACCCAAGGGTCAGTCAGATGAAGTTTACACATATTCCTCCTCCTTCCCCCAGTTCTCACAGAGTCAATTCACTGTGTCCCTGCCTTTTGTGAGCACATCTATTCTCTCTTTCCATGGTGCACTTACTAGGTCAAAACAAAACGAAAGACAAAGGTATTATAAAAGACCGGGGGCTTCCTACAAAAACCTCAGTCAAACCAAGTGAACCTAGAGACAAAGCTCACTATATTTCTTGAAGCTCCTCGAAGGCAGAATAAAGTAATCTGCATGGAGGACATAAAATAGTTGAAAAGTATACATTTCTTACTCTTCTCCCTAAAACTAGCCTACTGGATCTTCATCAAATGCCCCCCCACCCCACCTTCCTTCCCATTAAGATTCTTTTCATTTTCTCTACTTATTTTGCTTCAAGAATCACAATGGAGCTACCCAAAAGACCTGAAACATTTCTGCTTGAATTAGTTAAAGCTGATATTCATTTATTCAATACAACTTTACCAAACACTCCATTTGTATGAGGCCCTGTGCTAGGACCCAAGGATATAGGATAAATCCAGTTACTCACAAGATGAAAGAATATTGTGGTAGCTAAATCAAAGGCACCAGAAATCACAGTATGGTCTGGGAAGTGCTTCATAGTAAAGGTGTATGTAGCACACTCAGGGGCCCAGGAAGGACCCACAACACCCTAGTGTGTGACAGAAGTCAGGGGAGGCTTCCCCATGTGGAATACCTTCCACAACATGACATTAGCTACTGATTGATTTTTATTTGGGTACCAGAGATTGAACCCAGGGGCAATTAACCACTGAGCCACATCTCCAGCCCACCCCCATCCCTTTTTTATTTGTATTTTGAGACAGGGTCTCGCTAAATTGCTTAGGACCTCCCTATGCTGCTGACTTTAAACTTGTGAACCTCCTGCCTCAGCCTCCCAATTCCTGGGATTACAGGTGGGTGCCACTGTATCTGGCCCAATTATTTTTTTGAGATGCACTTCTTTAAATCTTCAAAGTGATTTGAGAGGTTGATTTTCTAGTTCTGCAAATCAAGCTTTGATATTTCTCCCTTCTCCTTAAATCGAATTGATAAATGAATCTTATTTTTCTAACATCAGGTTACACAGTTGACATACTTTGTCCATTTTTCTCTTGGGAAGAGGTTTCATCATTATTTGACCTTGATCTGTAACTTTCTAGGGTGTGTTCTGAAATTTCCTTTTCTGCAAGAAAAGAAAATTAAATTGTTAGTTTCTGGAGCCTTGGACATCATTCATATGTAGAAATGTTTGTTTGAATAAGTTGATGCCTTAGTAATGGAACAATAGCTGTCTTATCATGTTCCTGTGTACCCCCGGTTCTCATTAACTCAACATGGAGCTTTTAGTCTTTACTAGTATTCCTACAGGCACTGGACAAAGCACTATAAGAATGATGAAGTTCAATGACAGAAGAATAGAAGCAAATAATGTCCTTCAGAGGGGAACAAATGTAGGACCCCTAAAAGAATGATGGGGGTGAATAGTTAATGGGAAATTCTGAAATAATCCTATGGCATTTGCCTATTGAGCAGGCAGAGATATGATGAAAAGTCAGGCCCTGTCTCTAGGTGATTTGTAATGAGCATATTAGTCTAGTAACAGTCCAAAGAAGATATTAAACTAGTAGACATGATACTTAAAAAAAAAAAGTCAGAGATCTTCAAAGTTGCAGTATTTTGCCTTGGTAATACACAGTTCTGAGGGTACAGAGGCCATATGTGACTAGATCAGCACTGTCTAGTAGCACTGTAGAAGCCACACATGTGATTTAAAGAATTCTACTAGACACATTCAAGAAGTAAGAAGAAGCAGGTGAAATTGATTCAATAACATGACTTATTTGACTAGAACACCCATGATATGATTGTTAGTATGTCATATTCCTGCGTGAACATGCTAGTGTGTATGCTGAATTGGGTGTGTATTTTATCCTTACAGCACATCTTTTTAGGGACTAGTCACACATCAACTGATCAATAACCATCTTGTGGCTCCGGTACCAGATAGCACAAGTCCAGATAATGCCTTGGGAGGAAAGGATTGAATCCTGTTACATGTTTATAGGATGAATTGGGTAGACAATTATTCTAAATAACTTCTAAGGTTTCTTCTAACTCTGGTGTGTGTTGAGTTTATATATTTTATTATTTATTTTTAAAATTTATTTTGGTACTAGGGATGGAACCCAGGGGCACTTTGCTACACAGCTACATCTGCAGTCCAGTTTTAATTTTAATTTTGAGACAGGGTCTAAGCTGCTTAAGGTCTTTTTAAATTGCTAAGCTGGCCTTGAACTGGCAATCCTCCTGTCTCAGCCTCCCAAGTTGCTGGGATTTCAGGCCAGAGTGTGCCATTGTGTCAAGCCAGAGTCTATTTGTTTTAATCGGTATCTTTATCTACTCACCCTTCTTCCATATCACGTGTGCTTTCCGCAGCTTCATTATGAAGAGCTGCACTATGATGAAGAGGATGAAGATGAGGAAGGACACCAGGGTGAGCAGCAGAATGCCACTTTTCTTCCTCGTCAATTCGATATACTGAGGATTTGCTTCTACAAGGGAAATGAGAGGATTTTAGGCAGTGTTCTTTACATTGCCCTTTGATTATTGAGGGATACACAATACTTCCACAATGTTTTATAGGCGAAGTCAGAGCCCAGATGAAGAGATGGGGCAGAGCTTACTGCTGAAGGTAAAGAACACACATTATTCACGTTCTGCAAACAGGCAGAGCAGGCACACAAACAAGCAAAGCAATTCTGTAACAGGATGATTTGAAAAGTTGTTTTAATTTCATAGAAATACTTATTTTTCATTTTTAGAGAAAGCATGTAAGAATATTGACTTATTGTCAGGAGATTCAAATTAGCTGTAAGAAATGGTTTTTAGCAAAATGTAGTCAGGTAGCAAAAGAGGTTGTTAAGGAGATTGGAGAACTAACTAAATCAAATGAAAATCTACTTATCTTGGCTAGGTTAAATGTGACTCTTCATGAAGGCATTTGGGGATAAACAAGATGAGCTCTAAAAAGTATTTCTAAACCTAGAATTCTGATCCTATGGGCTACAATTTTGCTAAATGTTCTTCATCTCAACCAATAAGTAATTAAAGAGTGCCAGCCATGTGGAGAATATCATGCTTAGAGCTTCCTAAGACACAATTCCTATGTTTGAGGGGGTAGTTTTCTCTATATGTAAATAAATTAATTAACAAAAACAAACAAAAGTGAGATATCTTATGCAAAATTCTAGGTCCACATATGTTGATATAATAATGTGTTCCGGGGTTCAGAGTCAAGAGAGGTTGCTGAGGGCTGAATTGGCCAGGAAAGTTTTCAGGGAAGATACTGGCCTAGCAGGAGAAGCAAGGCCAATACGGATGTTCCTCCTTCCAATCAGGCAGTTAGGATACACAAGGGAAGTGTGGCTGAAACATGATGATATTTTCAGAGAAACATGTGGATCTTGCAGGGACTCTTTAAAGGAAGGACTGCAGAGGTAGGAGGGGTGTACTTTATTGTGGTGTGTGGGGGGGAGCTCAACTCTGTGCTGCATACTTTGGGAAGCCATAAAGGTTTTCAGAACACAGGTATGCAGAGTGCAAAGGGATATTTTGTCAATAGGAGCCAAACATGGACCCCAGGAAGAGAAACTGATGTTACAATATCTCTATGAAAGATTATGAGGTTCTAAATTCAGGGGTGGCAGTGATAATGACAATATACCTGAAAAAAAAAAAAAGACTCAAATCTCCTTGGAGGGACTAGGGTTATGGCTCAGTGGTAGAGTGCTTGCCGAGCATATGTGAGGTACTGGGTTGGATTCTCAGCACCACATAAAACAAAACAAAACAAAACAAAAAATAATGGTTAAATTCTTAAAAAAAAAAAAAACCTCCTTGGAAACTGGCTGTTTTTATATAAGCTGGGGGGTATTGCATATGTATATGTCTACATTTATATATCCACAATTATAAAGGATTACACTAAGATTTGGGGCTCTGCTTTGGACAAGCTGATTTTGTGGAAAAAGTTGCTATTTGGTTTTTAGCAATGTTGAGTGAAGGAGATGAAAGAAAATTTGGTTAGAGAGACAGAAAAATGAAACTGGGACTAATGCTCAGAAGAATGTTCTGGAAATACAGGTATGAAAATCTTCCTCCTATAGGCAACAGTAACAATCTTGGGAATGGGTAAACTCTTTAAGAATTAAGAAAAGTACAAAACATGAAGCAGTAAAATTGGAAGTAATCCCACATTACCCAAATTTAATTTTTTTTTTTTTTTTTTTTGTGGGGTGGGGGATTAAACCTAGGGCCTTGTACATGTAAGGAAATCACTCTACAAACCTGAGCCATATCCCACATTTAAGATGTCAGGAAGAACTGGAGTTAGCTAATGAATACAGAAAAACTGTAGTTAGCAAAGGAAGATGTCAAGGAAGGCAGGAGGCAATTAAGTCAAGAAGGGACAAGGGAGTGATTAACCCATTGTGTCATAAAGGGCAGAAACGAGGAGAAAAATGAGGACTGGAGAAGGCCATTGAATTTTTCCAATTTAAACATTTCCAATTTAAAATGTCAAGGATTTATTCTAAACACAGTGGGTGATACTTACCAATGGTCAAGTCAAGGTACTGAGTAGTTTGCTCTTTCTCTTCCTTGTCAATCTCTGGTATACTGGAATTTTCCATCATTGAGACTATGGTGAAAGAAAGTAAGAAATGTTATATGCCTATGTCATCTATTCATGATTTTGCATATAACTGCTGTAGCTTGCATGCCTGTCCTCTCCCAATCTCATATTGAAATTCAGTTGCCATTGCGATGATGTAACCTTTAAGAGGGTGGTGAAAGCTCCATCCTCCATAAATGGATGGAGGCCATTCCTGCAAAAGAGTGGATTGCCCCTCTTGCTGTCTCTCCTACCCTTTCTTAGCAAGAAAGTCCTCATCAGATGTGGCCCCCTCATCATTGGACTTTCCAGCCTCCAAATCTATGAGCCAATTAGGTTTCTGTTCATTGTAAATAACTCAGTGTATACTGTTCTATTTTAGCACCATAAAATGAACGGAGATTATAGCTACCTATATAACTGTATATATTCTGACCAAAGCAGCTTGAAAGCCATATTAAGTGGTCCTCATTTTATTAAAAAAGCTCATTTTAAAATTACTGATTTAATTTTTTTATTTTCTCTTTTTAAATAATGTAATAATTATACATTTTTATAGGATACAGTGTATAATGACCAAATCGGGGTAGAGTTTTTATCTCATCATTTCTTTGTTTGAAACCTTCAAACTCCTCTCTTTTAGTTTAAAATATATCATTGTTTAATATAAACTATGGTTATTATGCTGTGCTGTGGAACACTAGAACTTTTTCCTGTTATCTAACTGTATTTTGGTAACGGTTATACAACCTCCATCTAGTCTCATTGCTACCCTTTAGTAATTGCTATTCTACTGTTTTACTTTTGGATCAGCTTTCTAAGCTTCTACCCATGAGAGAGAACTTGTAGCATTTATCTTTCTATATCTGGCTTATTTCATTTTGAACTACTATTTCTTGCAAAAACACCACAAATAGTTGCAATGGTTAAGTTCCCTTTGACTTACTATTTTTTTTTTAGGCAAATGTTTATTTTTACTTTACTTATTTATTTTGTGGTACTTTTTTATTTTTTGAGAAGGACTTGCTAAGCTTCCAAGGTTGGCCTAAAACTTGTGATCTTCCTTCCTCAGCCTCCTGAATTGCTGGGGTTAAAACTACGAGCTGCTGTGCCTGGCTAGGCAGACACTAGTTGAAAGCTTACCACATACCAGGCCCTAACTGAGCGCTTGCTATCTTTTATTTCTTACTACAGCGAGGTTTTGAGGAATTAATAAATCACCTAAAGTTCTGCAGCAAATTCATGGCAGAACCAACATCAAAAGAGTATTTTGGAATTCTAGAACCCCAAATTTATACTGTTATTTCATACTTTCTTCCTGATCAGGAATATTAGAAAGAAGGTCCTTAGGACACTTCAAAATAATCACTAAACATGCAGATATGGCATCCCAAGGTTTTGAATAGGAACCTATAATCCCAGGTGCACAAAACAATGCTTTTTATATTGAAGTAAAAGCCTCAGTTGTCATTCAAACTTCTGGTTGCCTCTCCTTTAGAAATAGGATTTTCTAGGATGATGTTGCCTGATAAGACAGATCATAAAAATAGAAGATGGCTTTTTCAGATTTTGTTGCCTATTTTTTCCAAATTTTCTTTCTCTCCCTGTTTTTTTCCATTTGAAGTCTTTTTAGCTCATTGCACAGCGCCACTGTGTGGACCCAGAGGGGAATGAAGTCTTCCATGCTGCTGAAAATGGGTGTTATTAGTGACAATAAAATCACAGAAATTGGAAGCTGAAAGGAATTTTAGAGACCATATTTCTTAAATCCTATGTTGTATAAGAAAACACAGAGCAGGAAATTGAGTTGCTCAGTAGTGGTGCTAGCCAATTTAAAGACAACCAGATTCTAAACACGTTTAAAAATATTGGCTTATTAAAGCAAGTGATGTGGCTGTTCCACTTCATAATATTTTCAATTTCCATTGCCCTTGAAAATTGTATGGTACATGTTGTATTTATCAGTGTTTAAAACCCCCAAACATTTACTTTTAAACATTATTCAAGGTACACATTTCTAAAAATGTGATCTGATACTCAGAACTATGAACATGATAATGATGTGAAAACACTTATCTTACCAAATGAAATTATTATAGAGATATCACAAGAAATAGAAAAGGATCATAGAAGAATTTATGGCATCCTGAATGAGACTTTCTTGCTCAAAACACCAAAACAAATTCATTCATCTGTTCATTAAATAACATTTATTCATTCATTCTGAATTTTCTGAGCACTTGTTATTTAGCCAAAGACTATGCTGGGTAAACTATCAGGCTAAATTAAATATATGATTATTGCTCCAATTTAATCATCTAGTGAATTCACTGCCTAAAGATCTGGGAATATAAAAAAATTAAAAATAAAACTGTAGTTATAACCCAAGCTTTCTAAATTGGTCTTATAGCTCAATGCTGTCATAAAAAAAATGACCTAAGTTTTTGACAACCAAGTAATTGATGTGTCTTCAAAGATGATTTTGTTATTCCATAACAATACCAGATCCCAGCTCCTCCTTCTGGGCTCTGTGTGGAATGAAATTAAATCTGTGTTTTGTGTTTGCTCTGTTCTAGGCAGGGGAAAACAAGAATGAGTCTCCTCATAAATGAATTCAACCTTGTCATTTACCATAGAGGAAATTCAAGTTCATAATCGTGTGTGCAATTTTGTGTGTGCGTGCATTACATCTCCAGCAAAATAGTACTGAACGGTCAAGGCATGCTGTTGCTCTCTTGTCCTCCATTATACGTCAGCCCTCCTGATGTAGCCCTATTTCAGGACAACACAAAGCTGGAGCCAGTGGGAGGGGAGGGGGTCTTGTGTGGTCTTATTGAAAATTAAAATTAAAATATTCTTAAAACTTATAATGACCTTCCCAAGCAGGCACGATCTTTTGTCACGTTTCAGTGATTTAGACACTTACCAGTACTCGTGGGCTGCTGAGGGTCTTGAGAGGAGAGAGAGCTTTTCTCTGGAGCATCTGAGGCTGTCTCTTGATCAGTAACTAGGAAAGGGGAAAAACAAAATTCTGCAACTACAGAGAGCAATTTCACCCACATCGTGCTCAGTAAAACAGAACGTATTTGCCTGCTACTTCCTTGTGGAGGTTTTGCAGAAACCTCAGAGCTGTGTATTCCACAGCTCTTGCTCTGGTTTTTCAATCTGTACCCTGCTGGTTGTCCATCTGTTAACCCGACCAGCTTGCAAATGCAGCATGCTGGACTTGTGAGTGTTGGTGCACTTGGCAGCAGTGGGCAAATGGTGTTCACTGCCTCTGTCTGTATCCATCTACCTGTCTGTCATTCCCTCTACCTTTCTGACCATCTGTCTACCCAACTACACATCTATCTTCCTATTTATCACTTAGATGGCTCTGGAGCCCCCCCCCAAGCCTAGGTTGAATTCCAGTGCTGCTATTTGCTGGAAAACATGCCTAATTTATGAAACACTCAGTTTTTTTTTTCTTCTCGCAGAAGTGGACATACTGACAGCATGGACCTCTTTGGGTATTTTTATAAGAAATAAGAAGCTAATTCAACAACATAGTACAATTTCTTGATGTTTATGGAGCACAGTGCTTACTAAATATTATTATATAATATTGAGAACTACTTCGAGATGTTTCCAAAGGTTCAGTTTAGGATGGATTTCACCCATCAGTGAACAGGCCCACATCCAGGAAGAATGTAACAACTACCTGTCAATTCAACAATATGTGACGTGTGAGTAATGTCTCCATGAAATTTGTGTGCTTCTCAGTGTTTATTAAATCTAGAAATTTTCTGTGGTTTTGAAGGTGTATCTTATTAATCAAATATGTGTAATTTTTTTTGGAAAAGTATAAAAGCTTGAGTTATGCCTAAGAACTCTGGGAAAAGAAAGAATTATTGAGGAAATGTTAGAGAACTAGTAATACAGTAGTACCCCCTTATTTATGGGGGATGTGCTCCAAGACCACCTGTGGATGAAGCTGTGGATAATGTCAAACCCTATATATATACTGAGGCTTTCCCTACACATACATACCTATGACAAAGTTTAATTTATAGTCACAGGAAGATATTCATTGCAGTAAATAATAGTAAAAATGACAATTATAACAATACATTGCAATGAAAGTTATGTGACTATGGTCTCTCTCTACATATCTTACTTACTGTAACTCAGCCTTCTTGCTGAACCACTGGTAACTGAAACCATAGGAAGCAGAACCACTTATAAGGAATAGTCGTACACACTATAAGTCTAAAAGAAGAAGACTATTGACAATGCAAAGAGGAGAAAGTTTGAAATCTAGTCAAATATAAATGCTGGAAGGATATGATAAAAGTGGCATCCTGTGGGAAGTACTAGGGACATGTAAAACACAATTTATCAGCAATATTGATGGAAGTCTTTTAACATAGTAATTAGTATATGAATTCAGATGATTATATGTTTGTGTATGTTTATATATGTATAATTTGCATATGTGTATGTTTGAACTAGTTATATATATATTTAAAACTAAAATTTGTGTGTACTTTGATTTATCCTCTCAGTTCACACGCTACTGAATAGTTGTATTTAGACTTTGTTTTGATTAGGTGGACTCTAGCCACATTTACCTCCCTAGTGGGCCAGAATGTTATAGACCTCTGCTATGCACTGTGGTATACATTAACTATACTGTCTACTTCAATTTTAATTAATTAAAGTTAAATGGTATTTAAAATATAGTTCCTTGGTAGCACTAGCTGCTTTTCAAGTTTGAATTCATGTCTGCCACTGTGAACTTGAAGGCATCTGCTGATATTAGTGATGGTATTATGGAACAGATTTTGATATTGAAATGTGTCAATGTTTGAAAGATCTGTATAACTCTGTAATTCAGTATTTTCCAAATGACCAAGGCATAGTGTTAGGAAAATCATGCCAAGGTAAAAGATTCATTCAAGGTGCAAAATAATTCAATGGATTTTAATATAACAGAATATGAAAAGTTCATTTATAGGGTCCAGGTTCCACATAGGAACTAACCTTTAAGAAGCTACATCTTGTTGAGTATAATCTCAAAGAACAATATCCACAATTATTAAAAAAGGCTATTAAAACTATTCTCTAAAATGATATGTGTTTGTGTATATATATATATACACACACACACATATACACACACACATTCAATGGCATTTTACTCATCCATAAAGGATAATAAAATTCTATGTTTTTCTAGTAAAAGGATGAAATTGGAGAACATCATCCAGTGAATTAAACCAGGCTCAGAAAGTAAATAAATTTTTGCCTGTTGCTGTGATCAGCAGGCCTCCTTCAAACTACCACATGATTTCCATGGGCCCCTTTCTCTTCCAATTACATATTTTTGTGAAGTTGAATTATGTGTAGTTCAAGCAAAACAACATATTGAATATAAAAGTTATAAGAATCTAATTGTTTCTATTAAGCCAGACACAAAAGAGATCTTCAAAATGTAAAACAATGCTCATTTTTAACTAATTTTTGGTATTACAAAATATATTTTTTAAAGAAAAACATGCCATTTCTGTTAACATTTTGTGAAATTATTATTTAAAAATAAAAGAATAAGTACATATTTTGGATCCCTCAGCTTTACTTTCCGATAGGTAAATATTGACAGATATAATTTAAGTAAGTAAAAGTTCTTTGGGGTCTTCAATTATTTTTAAGAATGTAGAGGGGTGCTGAAGTAAAAAATTTGAAAACTGTTCAATTTTTAAAAAAATATACGGATAAGTAACAGGAAATCAAAATTCCTCATTGAGAAGACGAAGTAAGTGGTTCTGAAGAGAGTCTGATCTCTAATACACCTCGTGTAGTGTGGCACCTCATGGACGTGGTTCATTGCCCCCCCACCCAGGTCCTACGCTGGGATGAAAGGGTCAGAACTCTCACTTGTAAATGTGTTTTATAAGCATCCTCAGCTAGCAAATGTTTTAAACTAATGACTATTTGTAATATCTGAATGTCAACCTAGACGTAGCTCACCAAAGAAAGAAGGTCATAAACAAATGGAAGCCACCACCAGCTGATGCTGGTCCTCTTTGAGTACTTAGAGATCTGATTATGGCACTAGATAGTCAATAGATCACAAATACAACTCATCTTAGCCTATTATTATAAATATTTCTAGATGTAATTTTGAGACATATAGAAGTATAGCATAAAAGGAGGGAAAAAATGATAGGTGGCTTGAAACATTGCTGAAAAGTAAAAATACATTCCCACCCAACATTGTTGGTTCTCTTATTTAAGAACTAAATGTCTCTGTGCTCCAATTCCACTGGCAGAGGGGGAAGTGTGGGGAATCACCAAGGGGTAGGGGTAAGTACACAAGGTTACAGTGCAGCCCAGACTGTGGGGCTTTGAGTCTTCTTTGACTACAGCTTCCTCAATAAACTGTTTTTGGTTGGTGAGAAAGGGGCCCCTGGAAAGCATGTGGTAGTTTGAAGGAGGCCTGCTGATTAGCAACAGCCTGCACAGATTAGCATGGCAGCCTTCCCTAGTGAGGTTCCACTAAGCAACCTTGCCCTGAATGAGTGCCTTTTGTCATAAATTATTTCATTTGATAAAAGAGATTTTTCAGTAATGTATCCTTATCCAACTTTTTCCTCTTTCATTCGTGTGAACAATTCCTTGTACTCAGGAATCTCATTTTCCAGCAAGAAGTACCTTGTAAAATAATGAAGCTCAGAGCTCTATTACTGACAGGCCAGTGATTCCTGTGGCTTCTTATAGGATCCTTGGCTTGAAGAGTTGTTTGGGGTTTTTTAATTATTTCTTGGACTTTTGGGGAATCTTTAATACAGTGACAGCAAAGTATATCTAAAGGGCCACCATCTCAATGTAACTGTGCAATTATTTTGTAAGGACATATAATGATATTGATTAGTTTTGATATTAGTTACTATCTCCTTTTGGGTCAAGTACAATGATGCAGTATGCTTCACATGCTCTCTCCAACAATGTAATTGCAATAAAACTATCTGCAGTCAAGTTCTGCTAGCTGTCATTATCTTTGAGAGAGAATGGTGCTATTTGCATGTGGTGCTCTGCTAGACCTCATGCCCAGCCTGGACTCTTCTGGGCATTGGAACCCTTATAGTCCTGTCCTTAGCTGGAGAAATTTCAATCATTGCAGAAACATGCTATTAAGGAGATCTTTGTTGACAGTCATCTCACTCTGAAGGACTTTGCCCACTCCATTTAATTTTGTTTGAGAGTG